TATATATATATATATATATATATATATATGAGGCATTCCATACCAAATCGCACACTTTTGAACATCACTTTCCTAGATTTTTTTCATTTTTTGCTGATTGGTATAGTCTAGGCCAGCATAAAGAAAGCCGCCGAAAACCTAAAAAAAGTGAATTCTCTGCCAAGTTAAACCCCCTCTCAAAGTTGCAAAATTTGCCAGGTTAAAGCCTGGAACGCCTGTCTTTGAAGCTTTGTAATTCAGCCCATTTTTAACAGAAATTAACTATTTTCAAGCCAGCGTATTTCTCATGTCCTGAACTTTTAAAAAAATGTAGAACAATTTAATTCCAATAAAAAAAACACAAGGACAGTATAAAAACAAAATTTTAAACAAATATAGAAAAAAAACGTGCCTTTAAATGTTTTAGAGAAGATATATTTTGTGTGAAATTTTTTTCTCTACAACATACGGAAATTTGAGAGGTATTCTTTACTCCAGCTGTTTTTAGTTTTTGTATGTCGTAATTCCTCAGTTTTTAGAATTGTCTCTGTCTTGTACTCGTTAAATTTTTTGCCGTGTCAATAATCGATAATCGACTGAATCGAAAATTGTTGAATTTTGTTAAAAACGGGCTAAATTACAAAGCTCCAAAGACAGGTATGTCAAGCGGCAACCTGGGAAATTTTGCAACTTTGGGGGAGTATAATTTAGCGGAGAATTTACTTTTTCAGGTATTCTTTGCGGCTTTCTGTATGCTGGCATAGACTCTACTAATCAGCAAAAAATGAAAAAAATCTGAGAGGGTGATATTCAAAGGTGTGTGATTTTGCATGGAATGGCCCATATATATAGATTTGTTGTATAATTTGTAATCTGTAGGCGTTGAGCTTGAAGCTTTATAACAAACAATAATAATAATGATAATAATGTAACATATAATCCATGCTAAAGTGTGACATATTAACAAGAACATTGATGATATTAAATTTTTCATAATTATAGTAATGTCCTTCACCATTTTACGGTAAACACCAAGATTTTAGGCCAATAAATAGACTGTTTTTTTTAAGAAGAAAAAAAACTATCTGGTAACTTTGCTTTCAACTACTTACAACACTTTTATGCAATATTTCTTTTGCCTCGTCCTCTCCCTTTATCTTCTCCTCTTTCCATCATAAACATGTGAAATTTTTTTTAACTACATATATATCGTAAAAAAAAGTGGTTTCTTAAGCTTCTTGTAAATTTAACTAATGTTTTAAAAAACCTTACCAAAAGACTATAGGATAAGCGATCGTTTGTAGGGTAAAGAGTATTCTTACCAGCAATAACTGCTGTTGTTGTTAAAAAATCGAAAACTCTAAAAACAAAATAAATTTTTATTACTAAAAATTTGAGAAACTTTTTGTCTCCCATACGGCAGAACAAGTGCATAAATGACTTGAGCAGAGAAATAAAACAATAAGAAATGTATAATAATCAGAAAAAAAAATTTATTTCGGTTCTTCTTGCACACTTATTTTACTATATTTGCTTATTTTAATCATCAGTACAGTACAAATAGTTTTGACTAACGCTCATCAAATAAAGCTATGCTACTTGAACAAATATGTTAAATCAAAAAAAAAATTGTTTACCTGAGCAAATATAAGCCACCAGAACGCTGCTGTGAATGAACAAGATTTGACAGATAAACGATGATAAACTGTGTTATAACCGGTACTTTTAGCTCCCCGAACGGCACCACTTTTTTTGGTAAGCTTCCATGAATTAAGTGATAAAAAATGACCAATAAAAATGTGGCGATATAATGTAAAAAATGTATCACAACGGTTCTCATATTAAATGTAAAATACAGAACACTATGTGCAGCAGAAAGGCAAAATGCTGAACTTAAGTTTAGCAGATAGAAAAGCGCAACATCCAACTTTCTTGCCATATTATCTAAAAAAAAAAAAAAAAAAGAAAAAAAAAACAAGAAAAAAAGAGAAAGGAAATACCAGTTTCTTTCTTCAGCTAAACAATTTTCGTACATCAGTAAACAGGGTAAAACAAAGCAAAAGAAAAACCATGCTTTACTGCTAATATTCACAGAAAAAACCAAAAAAGAACTTCTCAATTGAATAAATATAATAGACAAATTTTTTCGGTTCAAAAGACACTATTAAAGTCGAATTAAATAAGAGTATCAGAATAATTTTTTAATGAGAAAACAGTGATTACACAAAATAATATTGATGATGAGATCAATACAAGTAATAATATTGATAAAGATGAAGAAGAACAATTGTTAACAAAAACAGCAGTCATATGAAAAATCTTTTCCATGATAGATATAAAACCAAACACGAATTAAAATTTTCTGAACAAACAACGGTCAAGTCTTTTGTGGCAGTTAATAACTTATGTTAAAAGTGCTTATCAGAGGTGTCATCGACTTCAGAAAAACACTGCATTAAAAGGTCGTCTACCAGTTGACAAACAGATATCGTTTTTGTTTTCTTGTTATACACGTGTTTTCCGTTCAGTATTTGCAACGATCCAGTCAACGTCATCGTCAGCATCAAAAAATCAGAAAAAAATGAATAAATTTCTACAGGAAGTATAAATAAAAGTTCTAGATATGCAAAGAAAAGTCCAGTAGACTTTTGTTTCAACTTTCGCTAATTCTGCTATGTGTCAGCGATGCACTGCACAATATTCTGAACTTGATTAACCTCTGAATTTGTACAAATAGCACAGAGCTCTGTAGAAAGCGACCAATTAGTCAAAGTAAACTTCAATTTTCCATTCCTCATCAATATAACAAAATTAAGATTAGAAATAGTGAAAAATAAAACTGCCATGCTTCCCTTTATCTAACAGTTTTTCTAAAAGGTACAGTTATATTGTATGTGCCTAAAATTTGCTAAAAACTGCTTTCATCAAAAAAGTAACTTTTTTTTGGAAATAATTTAAAATTCCAAGTACAGTTTTTAAAAAAAAATGACGCAAAAAAGAAAAACACTTTTTATATCTAGGTAGCGTTTTAGTGTTTTGTTCAAACATTTAACTTATTACGTCAAACTTTCGACTCCCCTACGGCTTAACTCAGTGTGTTGTTCAGTTAAATCACTCTTCTCACAAATTACCAAAAAAAAAAATAATTAAATAAATGAATAAAAAGTAAAAAAAGGAGGGAAGTAAACAGCCACAAAAACTTTAATTTAGGATTGCATTCCACATTTTTACTATATCTGTGTGTAGTTACATAGAGAAACTGAAAAACGAAGACTGTTTTACGGTAAGTATGACTAAGAATTAATCTCTACAAGTCATTCCTCGGTTACTGTAAGCTTAAAAACTTCCAATCATCACTAAAAAAAATTTAAAGTTTATTTTTTTAATAAAGTTTAAGCTGTGCAAAAATTCACATAAAAAATTGAGAACATTTATGACCCATACAACTATTAAAATCTA